ATACTTGTCGGCAGCTGTCGTGACAAAGGATGGACCCTATAAATCTTGCAGTCGCAAAACCTAAAATTCAAAGCGCGACTCGAAGAACGTTGACACTTGCTGGGTTTTCCGAAACCCCTAAAGTAAGCTGTAGCATGTAGTAGAGCTTTTTTTTTGGTTTCGCTAGGGTTTGCAGCTAACGTGCGGTTGCTAGTCTGTGCAGTTCATCGCACATTGAAGGACTCAGGTTTCACGGGACATCATGCTACTACAAGCCGTTGATTGGCACACCAGCGCATCCTGCCGACTTATGGTTTCTATCCAGCTTCATCGGCTTTAGATGAAGCCGGCCCTGGAGAAAACAGTGTAGTCAGACTTATCAAGTTCGAACTCTAGGCTTAACGCAGAAGTGAACAACTACGAAAGTTTTTCCTCAGGGTTCCTTGTTATTTGGATACTATGATGTGTCCGAAAACCCTGTTCTACTGGTTCAGGGTTTGTACGTGCGGGGTAGGGTTCCTTGTTCTTTGGATACTATGATGTGTCCGAAAACCCTGTTCTACTGGTTCAGGGTTTGTACGTGCGGGGTTCGTGTTTTCTACACACGAAAACCATCAAACTCAATTCAGGGTGTAGCCGTCCAGAAGCATTAACCCAACATTAATTTGTTTGTTCCGTTGCGGTCCCGATGGGTCTAGGGTTTGGGGAGGGTGGTTACCCCAATTCTTGTAGGTGAGAACGGTGAAGCAAGGGAGTCCTCAGTAGAAGGACCTCGTATGAGGACCGAAAATCACCTCAGAAGTGTTGCTGTGTCTCTAGGCTTGTATTCCAAACATACACTCCGAAACTACTCGAATCGTTATGGCTTCTGCAAGATAGTCGGTCCGTTTTCTAGACTCTAATCCCTAAGCCCTACACCCCGAAGCTTTACACCCTAAACTCTGAACCCTAAACCCTCTCTGCCAGGCTCTACTTGAAAGCCTTCGTTACCGATCATGGCCGCGTCGTCCCGGTGAAGCTGCGCCACGTTTGCACTGTGCGACCCAACGAGACTCCAAACAGCTCAAAGTACTTGCCGGTCTTCTGGTTGACTCCTAGGACTTTAACTTTTTGGGTTTCTGTAAAAACTACAATAGAGAGGCTAAAAGTTTAACTTTTGGGAGGGGTTCAGAAGTCAGCCAAGAGTAGTTATTGTTATGAGTACTGTTATTATTATTATTATTATTATTATCTGTTAGACTTTAGACTCCAGAGAAGGTACGCGTAGTGTTTGTATACTTGAAGTCTCAGGGTGAGGGTTGAAGAACACGGGCGGTCTTGCTTTAGAAACCCGTTGCTCTCAGGATCCTCATCATTACCTATACTATTGCAGGGGGTTCCTTATCACAGTTGTCGTATACTATGCCCCGAGACCCTATTCTAATTATTAAGACCCCTATAGTTTTTTCTGATGTTCCTACTTTGCCGAACCGCTTGTGTCTAAGAACCAAAGCGACAGGTTGGAGTTAATTAGGCAAGGCTGCTACCGCTGCTGCTCCTCGTCCTACTAGCAGTCGTCTCATGCCTTTTCCGTTTGACACTGTTACTGCGTTTTGGAAGCCTACGAGTGGGTTGATATTGACCTTTCCAACTTTGCAGCTCTGCGACCCTGGGTTTGCGGGGTATGGGATGTTGGATTTAAGGGTAAGGTTAGGGTTCACGGGTTTGGGGTTCGAGAGGTATGCGATCAAGTTAGGATCCCGGATGGGTTCCTTCCTTACTGCAGACAAAAGTTCACACCCTCAATCCTTAAATGCCCCGAACCAAAACTTTTAACTCAACCCGTACTAAACATCAAACCCTACAAATCGGTCTAAATTCTGCAGTCTATAACCCCTCAGCCTTGCACCAGACCCTAAAACCGCACTACTAAACCCTCCGCGAAACCAGGACACACATCTGACAGCTAAACCGGAAAGAATACAGCAACAAAAGCAACAAACACAAAAGCAACGACAAGAGCATGAAGCAACCACCGATTTCCTTTCCCAAACCCGAAACCCGAAGCCCTAAACCGACAGGTTCGTGGTCCTCCGGCTTCCGCCACAAAGAGGGCTGAAGCCTCAGGCGAAGAAGGAGAACAGAGGTTTAAGGTTTAGGGTTCAGCACTGGAGGGCTTGCAATCACAAGTAATGGTGCCCCCTTATAGTTCCACATATTCGCGTGACTAGGAAATTCCAGGAAGCCATTGTGAAACCCATTGTTCAGCCCAAGGCCCCATAGACCCTGAACCTGAACATGCTGTAAGTTGCAGGAGATTGCAGGAATCTCCTGGATCCGCACTGAGAAACTGCCTGGCTGGCCTGGTGGCACACAGGAGCGATTCTCCTCCCTACACGGGGCCTTCCTTAAGAACAGTCGTCTTTCATTTTGACTACTATGACTATATAGATCTTAAATCCAAGGAATTATTAGGCAGAGTGCGTTCATTTAGGTTCTTAGCATTGAAGCCTTGCCAGGACCCCCCCCTCTCTCCCTGCCATAAGCCCTCCTGGTCACCAGAAGGCCCATAACTGCAGGTTCTTTGGTGGTTAGGTAGGGTTTAGGGCTTAGGGTGTCATCCCTAAGCACTTGCACGACCTAGCAACTCGGAGATTGAGCTGAAGTATTCGTAAGGGCCCCAGACACGTGCCCAAGAATGTGTAGCTGAGCTTATAAGATCGTAGTACTTGTGGGGTACGCAGCATCAAAGGTTTGATGAGGCTCATGGCACGAAGCGCAAGCAGGGTTATATGCTTAGGCCGGGAAGGTTCCCAAGGAAGGTTTTTCACTCCAACCAAAAACCTTCAACCACAAAATGCTATCCCGAGAGGAACCAAAATCGTCAACGGCCACCGACGGAAACCCTAGACCCTAGACGCTCACTCCTCCAGTCCGCCAGCCGGCGGTTCCTTCACATCGAGCATTTTGTTCCGCAGCTGCAGCAACTTGCCCAAAGGCTACCTCGGTTTAGGATTTGGGGGAGAAGTTCTAGATGTGGTCCGTTCAGAGATCTCATTTTTCTCGAAGGTTCATAGGTAGTATTCCCTGCAGCACTGGCTAGAATCAGTAGCTATATAGGCCAAAAGTACCACCAAGGGTCCCTGTACACATAGATATACTCAAGCCCCGAAGTGATCCGTCTTAAGTCAGGTCTGAGCACATGCTCTACAGATGCGGACGGACAGTTAGACCAAACCTTTCGCTTCCTTCTTCAGAACCCTTGTAGCTTCAAACCCGGAAAAAGCCCCTTAGCCTTAGCAAGAACCCTTCTAGAAAACAAGTAGAACGACCTTGGCAACGGCCTCTTCGGGTTTCAGAGTTTCCAGCCGAGGAAGCTGCTACAGGATCCAGACGCCGGCCTCAGGAGTGACAGCAAGGTCGGAGAAACCGGTGATTTTGAGCCTTAAGGGTTCGGAATTTTGGTGCTTCAGGGGTTTAGGTTTTTTCGGGTTTATGGTTCTGGGGGTTCAAAATTTCGGGGCTTGGGGTGTAAGGTTTCGAGGCACGGGTTCGGAGCAAACTTAGCAACTTCCATACTTCAAGGGTTTACTAAAGTTACTACAGGGGTATTGGTAGGGGTTACCTTCTTGAGTACGGATACCACCAAAAGACGCATTGTCTGTAGGTGCTTGCTCACCTGCTTCTAGTTTAGGGTGTGGGCTTTAGGTTGAGGGTATCGAGGGGGGTGTATCCTGCGTCCGGGTAGGAACAAATTGTCTACCTTGAGTCTACGTCGGACATCGTGCGCCCCACGGGCTTGCAGCGATTGCACAGATCTGCCATCTACATCAGTATCCAATAGGAAGCATATTGAAGAAGCCCCGAGTTTATTGACATCTATGCACGTATATCTGAACTCTATATGAGATTATCCAAAGTGGCGAGTCCCGCTCGCTTGAGTAGGCGCTGGCGGGCGGATGGCTGGACATCAGGAGGATGCTTCGGCTGAATGGTGTCCCCAAAGGTTTAGGGGTTAGGGTTCACGGCGATGCTTGGCAGACTGTTGTATCCAAAGCTAGGTCTCGTCAGACTGGCAGGCAACACAAGAATCGACATGAAATCCTGCTTCCTGAATGCACCATCTAAGCCCTACCTATGGCCCATTGCCGAAGAATCAACAAGTGCGCGGAGAGTAATTACAACATGACTCCCAGACCCGAAGTGAACCGGACTGGTCCTGATTTCGTGCGGAAGTCTCGTATGGGATCCGTCGTAGGGCGGCAAACACCCGACCCGCAAAACTGAATGCCTGAATCCCCGAACCACAAACTCCTGGATAGTAGCCCTATGTAGTCCACATTCAGGGCAAGAATGCTATCGGACTTGCGCGATTGGTATCGAGCAAACCTGAACCTACAGCCTTAGCATCCTTCGTCAAGGCAGCTGATTACAAGGTAGCCAGATTGAGAAAAACTGCTCTGGCTAAATTTCGCCTGGGTGGCCTCAGAGGCACATTTTTCCAGGCATGGAGCAGAGCTCAGTATTCTCGTTCTACCTCGTAATGTTGAAAACTGAACACTCTCCCCATCGAAGAACCTGCCAGCAGAGGGACTTGTTTTCTGGCTTTCCACATGTAAGTCCTCTTGGACAGCGTCAGCCTCACACTTCATATGATTCATATTCCATGCTTCCTTGCATTATAGGAGCCTACAGAAAGTTTGAAGCAGGTTAACATAAACGAACTCTCTCTCTCTCTCTCTGTGTACATGCCTCCAATTGAAGCAACTTCTTGGTAGGGACCGTATAAATGTGAGCTGGGGTTCAGTGTTTGGCATAGACTCTAGGATTATCCTCCTGTGTTTCCGAAGCCGCCCATCAGCTGTCTGTAGCATAATTACATAAACATCTTCCGATTCCAGCAGTGTGAGAATCGAAAACACTACGTCAAGCCACGAGGTATAGACTAATTTCTTGTAGCTGTTGTGTGCCAATGTTTCGGGCCGCCCATGGAGCAAACTTGACTCCCCTGCCGGGACTTCAGTTTGCTCGCAGTCGCAGTCATGAGACGAATGCGGATCGTCGTGTCACCATTGCAATGCTGGCCCGGCTTGAGAAATTGCACCCTCTCATCGCGAAGCCAGCGACCTGCAAGGTGCGATGTTGCGGACCGGAATCTGTCGACTTCCGCCGCAGTCCATGATGACAAGCCGCCGAGTCCCATCTGCAATGGAGATTTGGCAAGAATGGTCGAGGAAGCCCGGAGCCCATTGAAGAGAGGACGCAGAGCTACCGAGGTTGCAATAGGCTCCCACGACTACCGGTATGGATCGACGCTGCGAGGTTGGAGTAAAAATGTAGCCGCTTCAGCCCAAAGGAGAGACCGCGAGAAGGGCTGGCAGTCCAACATAGATGCGAACTATCTTCTGGACCTTGTACTTGAGCAGGGCGGCCTGTGTGCATATTCTGGAATACCGATGGAACTGCTGCTGCCACACTCGCATTGGAGGGTGTCCATCGAAAGGATCAATAACAGAAAGGGGTATATTAAAGGCAATTGCTGCTTAATTGCAGCTGAGTTCAATACAGCAGTGCACAAGATGCGTGACGAAGCCGGAGCTCCCACCGGATCTGCACAATGGTCCAAGCAGAAAGTCGAGGAGCTTGTCCATGTTCGGACAGGGCAAGTGCAGGCGCAACGGCTGCAGGAAGGCATTGCCATTGCAAGGATTCGCCCATCCCCGACTGGACCACTCTCATACAGAACATTTCGAGGACCAGATGAAGAGGGAAGGTGTTTTTGCAGCCGCTGTGGCATTTGGAAGTGGCAGTCGGAGTACTCTAAGTGTGCCGCAAGCAGGACTGGCATGCAACCTCTGTGCAAGCAATGTGCCTGTGATGCGAAATTAACCTGGCTGCAGACACTGCGGGGACACGGGATAAGCCTGCTGACTACGGCCCGCCGAAGAGCTACTAGCAGAAAGGGCGTGTGGACCGGAGCTTTCGCACTGGATTTGGACGACATACTTGTCATGCTCTGGATGCAAGGTGGACGCTGCTACTACTCAGGTGTGCCGCTGCACTGTGCAGCAGGCCCTGCCGATTGGGCCTGGTCCATCGAGCGTCTAGACAATTCCGTCACATATACGAAAGAGAATTGCGTCTTGATTGCCCGAGAGTTTCAGACCTCCGACCACAGTCGCAAAAATGCGGCATATCCAGTTTTCGGCACTGCTCAGTGGTCACGAAGCAAGGTGAATCACGTTTGGGGACTCTACCACGAAGACTGTGAAGCTCGAGTTGTTCAGGGTTTTCCCGGGCCTAATTAGACGACACACTGGGCCAGGAGCTTTGCAGAATGCCGACACGAAGATGCAAAGAAAAGGCCACACATGCGGCCCCACCCCAGCCAGCCCTAAGCATTGATTGCCATTTCTTAACCCTACAATTTTGTTAAACGCACTCCGGCCCCTGCTGGCGAACCTCCTGACGCTCCGGTCCCCATAGCCCCGGATCCTACAACCCAAACTTTTTCCGGACCTAGAGCCCGCATATATGTTTCTATAAGTCTATAAGATCCAACTAGCTCTGCATATAACTACTGACTTCTCATGTACCTCCGGGTGATCCTAAACACTCTTATCTAACCTGTATGCGGGCACTGCAAAATACTCGCAGCCGTTTGTAGCCCGAAAAGTCTTCAATACCTACCCGACCTACCCATGAACCTTCAAGTGCAGTGTCCCTCAACCCTGAACCCTGCTAAGACTCTTACTCACTCAAGAGATGTATAAACAACTGCATGAAGTGTTTCAGGGATGCATCACCCTGTGCAGCTTCCCATGGAACTGGCAGTCATCAGTCCATATAATCCTGAACCCTAAAGCCTAGTGTGCCAAAAAAAGCCCTATTCAAGGATGATGGAGGCCTTCGAAGAGGGCTGGGTGCATGCCGCAGCAGGAAAAACACGGCGCTCTTCGGTGCTACGGTTAGGTCATCTTAAGCCTTTAAATTCCAAGGTTTTGGCCATCGGGCAGAAGCTGCGTGAACCTACATCTTGGCAGGGTTGGAACAGTTTCGAAGTTGATGCTCGACTCGTCTGAGGACCCCGCAAAACTAGAGGTTTCGGTAGCTAAATCCTAGGGCCTAAACCCTCAAGGCGAGCAGTTGTTTCGGTCCCAAAGCCTCATGACCGTTCCCGATGGGTTTAACTCGAGAGTTCCTTACGATCCCTACATGTACATGTACATGTACATGTACATGTACATATATTATGCATGTGTGTATGTATGTAGCTATCTACCTAGTATATATACATATATATATATATATATATATGTATTACATACATGTATATGTATATACACATATGTATATGTAGCGATATATAGAGATTTGTTTATATATGTATACACACACCTACGTTGGATATCGTAAACAGCAGCTTCCGGGTCACGTACATGTACATGGATCCTTGGAGGTTCAAGGATTTCAAAGGTCTCAGCAAAGGCTTAGTTAGGGTTTTGGGTTTGGGTTTAGGGTTCCCTAAAGGGTGTAGCGTAGCGGGGCTTAAGGGGATGAACCCCGAGACCCGAAAACCCAGAGCTTGAGGGTGCCAGAAGAATAGCACTATCAACACTCGTCGCTCCAACAGTAGTAACATCCTCCGAAACCCGAACCCCAGGCCACAACCTGAAACGTAAACCCCTGTATTAGGGACAAATTTCATGCCAATCCTTGATCGGCCCCGCAGTATTTTCCATCCAGCACGCGGCTAGCCAAGATTCCGAGCGCGCAGACGTCCTATCGACACAGCTGGGAGGAGAAGCGGATATGTGAATGTTTATGTCTTTTTACATTCTTGTGCTTATGCGTACGTATATACATATACGCATGTGGCAGGCTCTCATAGTGGTTACGGGATGATGAGAAGTTTTGAGAAGTACACTGAGTGGTAGTGACGCTTGCAACACGCGTGGCTTGATCCGTGTCTGTCAGTCTCGGGACCTACAGCTTTAGTCTCGACACTGCTCGTCGAAAGCCAGGCGCACTATCAACACACGGCTCGACGCAAGATCCATAAACCCCCAAGAACTACACCTCTCACTCCTCCCTACTCTCCTATTCTTAAACTAGTTACGACATTCCCGCTGACCTGCTGGTCCTCTCTGCCGTCGCTGCTACTGGCGACCTGGTGCAGAAAGGCCCATCGTCGGATGTTTGAGTCTGCAAAGGGGTTTCCCTAAGGGTCCATGTACCCATATAGAGATACACGGGCCCCAATGTACCTATATAGGGACTACATTAAGGCCAATGTCTATACTATATGAGTACATGGACCCTTAGGTTTTTGGTTTAGGTTCCGCAGAGATTCAGGTGAGTGTTTGTTGGTCGTGTTCCGGCCAAAGGATGCTTGAAAATTCAGCTCGAGACGTCAACCTCAAGCCCGCCAAGCACTACCCGCAAGCTCCGCATTCCAGTCGTGTCTCTTTCTGCTGCCTTGGCCTGTGCCAAGGGCGATGGCAGAGCACCACGAGGAGGCTGGCTGCTGAGGGTTCAGGTTTTGGCAGCGGTATAGAGGCTTCATATGCGTGCTGCAGCTACCAGCAGTCGCATAATGCTTGCGATGTCTGTATGCAGAGAGAACTCTTGGGTTCTCAACAATGCTTCTTATCCCCTGTCTTGCTAAAGAAATCGAAACCCGACTCTGAGTCTTCAGCCCTGCACAACCCGGAAGCAGTCTGCAGCCCGCAGGTCAGCTGGGGAGACAACAAGGATGATGATCTCGGCACAATGCCTTCTTGCAAGGACAGGGTAGCAATGCTACTTCAGTGTTCGAGTACACCGAGCCTTTGATCACAGCTATGTCAGCCATGTATGTATGTGTGTGTAAATACGTCTTTATGTTTACATGTAGACATGTATATATGTATATGTCTGAATGTGTACATTCACGTGTACATTTTTATCTGCACAGCAAACCAAACAAGAAAATTGCTACTACATACGTGTGGCAGCAGGGCTGGCAGCTGCACACGAAGCCTGAGCTCTGAACCCCAACAAGAAACAACACCCTAAACCCTAAACCCCAAGCCGCGACTGGCTTAGGGTTTAGGGTTATTCCTCAACCCCTGAAGCTGCAAAAGGCTAAAAAAGGGTGCCGCGAGGTTGAGGGGCGAGACCGTCTTCCCTGGCAAAGCTCGAGGCTTCCCCATACATTACGTAACGAATAAGGAGCTGCAATGGCGACTACAGGCACATATTTGGGCTGTTAGGTTAACCAGGCTCGCTGCACCCGTAGTCCACCCCCATCTACCAAAACCTACTTTGTGCAGGGCCCTTTGAACTTTGCATCAGGTCTTTTACCAGGAGCCTAGTACAAAGTGGGTTTTGGTAGTATGAGGTAGTCTGGTCGGCTATTCTTAGCTTTGGTTAGTAGGGAATGGAAGAATGGCAGCAATAGTAGTCGTAATTGTACCCCCATTCCTCCATTCCCTAGTAACCAAAGGTATGTATTGGAGAGGACGACGACAAGCTCTCCTACAGACGGCTCCGCTTACTTGGGCAGGGCTCGTTTGGCGCCGAGCTCAGCCTCTTTGGATTAGAGCTTTAGATATGGGAGTTTCCGAGAATTAGGGGTTACCGTAGGGTTCCTTTAAAGGGTTACCATAAGGGTACTATAAGGGTTCGGTTAAAGGGATCTTTAAAGGCTTTAGGGTTTAGAGTTTCCGAAAATTGGGGATACCTTATTTTGGGGTCCTTCTAATAAGGATCCTAGTATTTACGGTACTACATTGGGGTCCCCTATTTTCGGAAACTCCCATATCACAAATTATCCCTAAGGGTCCATGAACCCACATAGTATATACTTTGGCCCCAAAAGGGGCTACTTTAAGGCCAAAGTATATACTATTTGGGTACATATTATCAATTCCCGAACGCCCATACGCTGTAAAACCTGAACCGTGAACACAACGCTCAAAAGCCCTAGAGCACTAAAGCGTTGCAAACCCTAAGCCACACCGTCCATCCCTTGAAAAGGTAGTTATATTCGTTATTTACGGAAGATTCGATCCTGCCTTATTCCGTACCCTAAAGCGTCCAAGCTAGTAACCTACATAGCTACGAACCCTAAACCCAAGTAGCTAATTATTGGGTCCTTTGGACTTTGGACCCTACCTTAACGCATACAACCTACCTGCTGAAGGACTGTTAAGCAACTCATAATCGGGAACCCTGAAAAGGAAGGTATTATAGGGTCCAGGTATTCCTTAACCCTATAAACCCTAAACCCCTAAACCTCTACACCCTAAACTCTAAACCCTAAACCCCGGAAAAGGGACGTTCAAACACAAAAAAATCCTAAACCCCTAAGCCCTTAAATCCTAAACCCCTAAATGAAAACCATACCTTAAACCCCACATGTCAGGCAAGGCCTTTCTAGCCCGAGACTTGTCGAACAACGAGCTCGCTACTTGTCTGTGGTCTACTGCAGTTTGAAGGTTCATCTGTAGCCGAAAGACCTACCTTTTGAGGGTTCTTTCTTATGGTTTCTATACATGATTCGATAGCAAAAGGTAGGTCTGTTGGGTCACAGGTAGTGTTTGGTGGTGTGGGTCTTTGGGGTTTAAACGGTTTTTTGGGTTTGGGGTTTCTGCAGGCCAGTATCTTGGTTTCGGGTTTAGGGCTCTTGGGTTTGAGAAGCAGGGTTGTCTGCCTCCGAAAAAGGCCGATGCCCCTCGTTTCGGCAGTGTAGTTACTCATATAGTGGCCTTAACAGAATGTGGTTTTCGGGGTATATTCTACTAAGCAATGGTACTGGACATTAGATATCCAGTCCCCTATCATCTACCTCACTTGCAAGGTTTTACAGTCGCTGAAGTAGTTGTTTGAGTCTTCCTGCTTCTATAAAAAATTGAGGGATCCTACTTCAGCAGAAGAGATCTCCTTTACGGGAAGCTCGAGGTTAGTGTAGGGGCCTGATTAAGAAACCTTGGGCCTTTCTTTAAGTTCCTTATACGAATCCTACCATTTCGGGGTTAACGGCCCAGGGTTTCTTGATCAGGTTCCTCGTTTGTGGGTGATCAGCAGGCCTGTGAGGAGCTATCCAAGTCGGGCTTGTTGGATTTTTGGGGCTGGGCTGTCGCTGGTTTCCAGCATATTTCAACAGCAAGCATACACGACTGTCGTCGGTTTCGCGTCGCTCCGGTTTTCAGAGGCCTCTGACGCCGAAGCTCTTTGGCTCTCGCCCTTCCTCTGAATCCCCGATGCCAAGACCCTGCACCCATAGACTGTGCAAGCCCTGATGTCGCGATGCTCTGAAGCCGTAAACCCTTGAAGTCTAAACTCCTAAGCCCAAAAGCCTAAAAAACCTAACGCCTGATAGGCTCATGTCGAGTTCTAAACCCTACAAACCCTAGACCCTATAAATTCTTAACCCCTAAACTTCTAAATCTGAACCCTATAAACCCTAGACCCTATAAATCCTTAGCCCTGAACTCCTAAAAGCTCATCTGGAGTCTTCGGGACTTGTCCAGGTTGTCATGAAGCAGGTCCGTGTAGAGAAGATGGATGCCAAGGCCGAAGACCTCCCTGGTTTTGCCTGCAGGGTCTTAGGGTTTCAGGTTTAGGGTTTAGGGTTTTAGGGTTTAGGGTTTAGGAGTACCTGTGACTGTAAAGACCTACCTGTTATAGAAACCATAAGGAACCCTGATAAGGTAGGTCTCTTCGGCGACAGGTAGGGTTTATCCTAAGGTTCCTAACACTTTGAGGAACCTCAAAACGTAGGATTCCTGAAGCCCCAACGAGACCCAAGGGTTCTCCCTAAGAGATTCCGGACCCTCCTAAGGAGATACCTGGACCCTTAGGGTAGGCTTTAAACGCAAGTTTTGGTGATGTTTACGGTCTCGGAGTAAGGATTAGGGTTTCACTAGGGTTTAGTAAGGAGCAGGGTTTAGAAGTAGGGTTTAGGAGCGGGTTTAGGAGTAATTAAGGGTTTTATAGGGTTTAAGTTAGGTTTAGGAGCAGGGTTTGGGGGGCTAAATTAGGGTTCACTTACCTTTGGGTTAGTAGGGAATGGGAGAATGGTAGTAATAGTAGTTAGAACTGTACCCCATTCCTCCATTCCCTACTTGGAGGCCCTTTTGACTTAGTAAGTCTACTTAGTATCCCCTAGAAACCCCATTATTATCCCCATAACCCACCTTACTAACCCTACTTACTAAGTCAAAAGGGCCTCCAAGTACTAACCAACGGTAAGTTCAGGAGGAGAGCTTTGGGATGAAGCTTCTGGGTGGTCGGTTCGTTTCGTGCGGTTTGAGCGGTGTAGGGTCTTAGTGCTTGGTATGATTCTTCAGTCTCCACTGACTTTAGTATCTCTTGATTAAACTATTTAGACTCAGAGTAAGAAATCCTGGGTCATTTATTACTAGGGTCGTTTATATGAGTCCAGATTGTTAAAATGGGGCCAGGGTTTCTAGTCAGGTTCCTACATTATTGCTAAACCAAGCTACCCCCGTCATCCTGGTAATTTCTTGAAGATAGAGGTCCCAGGAGCCCCATCAGAAGTTTAGGGGTTTGGGGTTTAGGGATTTAGGGTTTAGTGGTCTGTGTTCTTGGAACCTTATCCTCCTGGAAAGCGCGAGTTCAATGTCTTCAAAGCTGTGCAGATAGGTCCAAGCACCTCAGACCCGAAAGCTCCCCCAGCTAGTGTGTGCTTGCATGTAGACTACACCTTAAACCCGAATACCGAGTCACTAGGTACGTTGCAGCCTTGACAGAGCCCCCAAATTCTGAACCTCGCCTAAACTCCTGGAACTCTTCTGCAACCTTCAGTTCCCTAAACCCTAAACCAGGCTGTTCAGTGGTACATACTTTATTACTTTCAGGTTTCTGGGTTCCTATTATGGAAAAAGTAGCCCAAAAAAGTATATACTTTTTCCAGTGGGTTACTGAACAACCTAGTAAACCCTTTCCATCCTTGAACTCCTCGAATACTTGTCTGTAGGCTCGCGACACTGCGGTCCGCGAGGCAGTGGCCCTTCGCCGTGACTTGGACCCATCACGCTAAGCAAGCTGGGTGGGCATAGAGTCTTTGCCACAGGCTGTTAGATGTTGGTGTTATGCTGCAACCCATAACCACGTCAAGAACGATGTGATTTGGGGCTTACTTCAGAGTACATACTCACAGACGTGACACCCCTCCAGCAACAATCTTTAACCTTAAGGGTCCAAGTACTCCCTAGTACAGAATTTTGGATCCTTGGCGGATACCAAAAACCATAATAAGGACAACGCTGACCCTTAGGGTAATGTACTATAGGACCTAAAGTAGGCCCTTATTCCGTTTTTCTGGGTTCAGCTTCCCTTTAAACCAAAAAGGGCACGATGTGTTTTTCCTAGGTTACTCTTGGGTCTAGTGTAAATGCGCCCTGAAATGCCTTGCGATGGCGCCCGGAAACTCCTCCATGACCGACTCGCAGCTCCCTGTGCCTAGGGATCAAAGTAGCCCAAATGGCTTGTATAGAATCCAGGCTGTTCAGTGGTACACTTTTTTACTTTCAGGTTTCTGGGTTCCTATTCTCCAATAAGAAGCCTAAAAAAGTATACACTTTTTCCCAGTGGGTTACTGAACAGCCTAGGAATGGTCTTGGGGCCCAAAGGCTCTTGGAAAGACCATGGCACGTTCTCCGGAAACCTTCTCCTAGTAGTAGTAGTAGTAGTAGTAGTAGTAGTAGTAGTAGTAGTAGTAGTAGTAGTAGTAGTAGTAGTAGTAGTAGTAGTAGAGTAGGTAGCCTTTTTACTTTTAACTGATTTGGGTACTATGACCCCAACATACTCCCAAAGGTTAACCTGAAGTGCCCCAGGATGCTTGACACATAGGTTCTTGCGAGTCAGTGAAGGGCTTCATCTAACACTTCATGAAACCTTCGGTCGTAAACCCATGACATCATAGGGACCCTTAGGGGGGTAAGGGGGAGAGGGGTAGGGGGCGAAACTTCCTTAAATAGGCCTTGTTAGGTCCTTTATTATGGGCATTAAGACCCCCTACCCCCTAAACATTTATACCATATAAACACCGCAGCGCTCTGGTCTAATCGTTTTCTCTCGTGTATGCGCCCCAGGTGTCCGTCATCCCAACGTGGTGCGTTTCCGGCAAGTGTTCGTCCGCTCCGGCTGGCTCTGCTTCCCGCTATAAATCCTTCGGGTTTGGGTTCATGGGTTCAGCGGTGTGGGGCCAATTACATAGACTAAGAGCTAGAGCAACCAATTCACCCTCAAACAAATGATATGAGCTCAGGATCTAGGTATATTTAGCTTTCTGTTGGTGCCCGGGCTACTCGAGGTAGGGCTTCGAATTGAACTCCTTTTGGCTTGTAGATGTTTGTGGTTTGGGGGAAGTTCCTATGCAGGAGAAGGACACCTCGTAAGTGATGTGTTTTCGTTGGTATGAGGTAAAGTACAATACATGTTACGCATTGAGCTGTCCAAATTGCGGTGGGTGTTGTGGTATAAATGAAGTCAGCAACAAGAAGCCAGTCTCCCGCGAAGGTTTAGTCATGGACTTTGCAGACGGCGGGGACCTGTGCGCGGCAGTGAAGGCCTGCCGTGCGGGAGTCTTGTTGTACAATATAGCTATACCTTAATTTGTTGTTATCTATGTATGTTTTTTTTGCAAAAAATCGTACAATATAGGTATAGTACCTTAATGTCTTGTTATCTTCGTATGTATATATACAAAGGGAGAAAGAGGGAGGGAGGCACGTGGATAGAGTCTCAGGGACCTCCAGCTCCGCAAGCACAGACGTTTCTGGCGCGAGAAAATGTGGGTTTTCGACGCAAGCCTAATTCCCAAAGCCGTTGCCTTCAATGGCTCTAAACCCTAAACCCTCAAGCCTTGAATCCCGAAGGAAGCCAGGGCCGCCTTTCTCGAGGAGGAATGTACTTAACTCATGCTACTTAGAGGATCATGGGACTTAGTAAGTAAGGTTATAAGTACCCTAATTGGGGTTATAAGTAACTGTAAGTATAGTTACCTTATCTATAACCCTAGGTACTAAGTCCCATGATCCTTTAAGTACGCGCTGCCCCTCGCCCCTCCCAAGTCTGGAAGATTGTATGGGAGTTTCCGAAAACTAGGGGTACCTTAGGGTTCCTTTAAAGGGTTACTCTAAGGGTTCCTTAAAGGGATCTAGAAGAGTTCTATAAAGGGTTTAGGGTCTAGAGTTTCCGAAATTTAGGGGACATTATTTTATGGTCCTCATAAAAAGGATCTTACTACTAAGGGTGCTATATTAGGGTCCCCTGTTTTCGGAAACTCCCGTATGTGCATATTAACTTGAAGGACCTTTAGGAGTCTGCTTGGTGACTAGCGAAGAGTCACTAAGGGGTCCAAATCCCTAACAATCATACAGTTCTTCCAAATATTAGCTTATTGAATGACGACCCTAGACCGCAAGAACCTTAAGCCCTGAATCCTTCCCCCAAATCTTAACCTAAATGACGACTATCCTACTGCCAGGAGCGTGGCAAATCGGGAGCGCCGTTCGAAGAATCGGCCGTGCTGGAGTGCTTCTCCCAGGCTCGTGACCCCTCTACGGCCAGCGGTTTGGGGTTTAGGGTTTATAAGGTTTAGGGTGGGTCGTGAAATTTTAATTACGGCTTTCGAGTTTAGACTAAGGCTTCAGGTGTTTAGAGTCAGAGTTTAGGGTTCTTGAGGTTGAGGGTTGAAGGGCCATACTGCTGATGTGTGTTATGCTAAACCATGCACCCTTTCAAGATATGGTATCATAGCTTAAAGTTTACGTTTTGGGTCTGGGTTGACTAATTTGAATGTTTTATCCGTGCTACCTTGTTGAAGACGAGTAGGTGCTGTGAAGACCGAATTCAGCGTTGTTCGATCCGGAATCTGGTGTTTGTTTTTTTGTTTCGGCTGTGAAGCCCTGTCGAACCAGAAGCACACATTCCCAACATCCCCCCATCCTCAACCGCGCACCCGACATGTGATCCGCGAAGCTCAATGCACTCCCGGTTGCAGGTCGCCGATGCAGTGCGCTTTGTCCACGCACAGAGACTTGGAATTGTTTTTTTGATTACTGTCCTTGGAGTTTCGGCTTCAGGATTTCATCGTAACCCACGGTTTGCTTGATAAAGTTTTCTATCCCAAGGTGTCCCAACTACCTATATCATATAGGTTTCTAGATAAGGCCATTAGGAATTGCAATTATTATGATTTGGGTAAGTACCTCATAATCAATAACAGTACCTCGGACCCTTTTTTGGAGTATGACCTCAATTGCTGTTTAGGGTTATGGTTTTTACGAGAACAGGTTGCTCCCGTTTTCTTCGCACTGCCTGCTACCACCGATGAGCCTTCAAGTACACCCTTGGTCACAGCAATCTTTACGGCAGGAACCCTTACAGCAACATACGCAAGGACGGATTTCGCTCTCGGATTTTGGGCACCCTTCGATAAGCCGATTCATTCCAAAAGAATTTTTACATCGCCTAGGACTCCATGTCTAGAGCGCTGGGGGCTTGACCATACAAAAGGGCCTAAAGAATTACCTATACTATTCTGGGGGCTTGCATATAGTTATAGTATATTGGGCCCCAGAACCCCCGACCCCCCAGCGTCGTGCAGATCAAATAAGCACACGAAGCCCGATTTATAGCATTTGTTGGCTTAAGAGCTTTGAGAGGAGAGTTTTTAGGGCCTCAGTTGTTGCGTTTGGGGCGATTCAAAGAAGCTTCTCCAACAACCCTTCCCGAACCTCAAACTCTAAACCCTCTGTGGGCCTTTCGGGCATGTCACATGTTCCCTTATTGGGCCTAAGAGGATCTTATCTTCGAGTAGTTTTTCAGAGGCTTTATAGGGCGACTGAATCCTAAACCCGACTGTAAACTCCTAAATAAGCCCGGACCTGCAAGGACGAACTGCAAACCCAAGACACCAAGAGTTCAATCCGAGTTTAGCGCCTAGGGCTTACTATAGGGGCCTTACAGTAATTATTGCCTATACTATTTTTTGGGCGGGATCCTTATCAAAGTTATACAAAAATGGGCCCCAAGGCCCTAGTCTGATTATGAAGGCCCCTATTATGAAACCCTTAGAGTAAGCCTTTTTGTAACCCTTATACACCCCCCTAAAAGGTACCCTTTAAAGGAACCCTATTCTACTAATTAGAAAAGGCCCCTATAGGCCCCTACATTAGGGCTTAGGTAATCCTGAGTGCCCCCAGGAAGATGGTCCACAGAGACATCAAGTCAAGGAACATCTTCCTCTGTCGCACTGGAAAGGCCCTTGCTCACTGTAGGAGGGGGGGAGCTTTCTTTTTTGTCTCTTCGGGTTTAGGGTTTAGGGTTCCATAGTCTCCTATACTGGTTCCCAAAACGTTATACCAAGTGGGCAATTGATTTACCGTCATTCCCCAGGCTATAATAGGTTTTACCGAGGTAAGGGGGTAATCATGTTCCAGCTGGTTTTGCTGGTAATCGCTTTAGCATGCTTGTCAAACTTATCTTCCTTCACCTTAAGAGACCGCAAGTTGTTCACTTCGAGTCTTGGGGTTTGCTTGACTTGAGCCCGCACAGTTACATGCGCCATGCATTTAACAACAGTAAGAGTCCTGCAAGAGGGGTTTTAACACTTCGAGTGGGGTTTGGAGGTATATTGCAGTATATCAAGACGGGCGCTACGAGTGACCCGTCTGATTAGTTATGCATGCCCCTATAGCACCTTCATGTCGTGCTGGTCTTGCTCCTGGTTGGAGTTTCCATTGTCAATAGCGAGTTCAGACCAAAGCAGTAAGCCCCTTCATACCCTCGGAGCCCTAAAGGGCTGATTGCCCATCCACCTTCTGCCAGAGACCCAGTACCATGACCACGGCAAGGTAGACCTGCTAACTACGACCCCTATCAGCCCCTGTCGCACAAATCCATAATCCGTCTAAACCCAGAGTTTGCCCTCTGTGTGAGGCCTTGCTAGGTGATTTCGGTCTCGTGCGTCTGCTCGAGATGCTATGTCTGCAAGAGCTGGGGTTTTGGCTTTCAGAGTGGAGAGGGTTTGCAAGGATTCAAGTGAGGGTTGCTGCGAGGGTTCTCTGGAGAGCTCTTCTGAGTTTTCGGATTAGGTGTTGGGGCTGGACGGTTTTGCAGGGTTAAGGTTTAATCGGGTTTAGGGTTTCGAGCTCTGTCAGATGAGACTTGGCGTTCAGGTTCATGGCTTTAGTGCTCAGGGTTAGTAGATTTTGTAGCCACCCCGGCGGGAGACTGCTGTCAGCATGGCCCTAAACCCTTTCACCACGTGCAAGCCTACCTATAGTCTCCATTGTAGTTCCTTTTTTGGTTAATCAGTTTTATGGTTAGGACCCTATAAAAGAGATTTTGGTTAACCAACGAAAGGAACTACAATGGAGACTATAGGTAGACTGAGGCTCCAGAGAAACCATGTCTGCACGTCTGCTCATTGGCAGAACCTTTCATCCGCCATGATCAGAAAATACCAGGAAGATGTAACTACCTATCTGTATTTTGACAGTATACCAGAAACTCAAATAAATGAGTTCGCATACCGAAAACTACAAAAATTGTAGGTTCCCACAGCGTCCTCTTCTGTCAGCCTGTTTTAAGGACGACTTGCGAGCTGGCGCATACACGTGTTGGCACGCCGTACTACCTGAGCCCGGAGATCATCCGCAAGCAGCCTTACAACTACAAGACGGACGTGTGGAGCTTGGGTGTGCTGCTGTATGAGACTTTCTTGCAGTTACTGGCTCAGGGTTGTGTGCTTTCTTTTTTTTGTGCAGGCATGGTGAAGAAAAAGCTCATACATAGAGACCTCGAGACTACGCAGACACAAAACCCTAAACCTCAAACCCTACAAGAAGCCCTAAACCCTGAACCAAAACCCAAAAGTCTAAGCCCTAAACCCTGAACTTAAACCCCTAAACCCCTAAACCCTAAAGCCCTAGACCCTAAAACCCTAAACGCTAAAGCCCTATATATAGATCCTGAACACTAAGGAGATGGCAGCCCTCAAGCGGCCGTTTGTTGGCACACTGGAGAGCAGCTTGGGCTGGAACTGTACGCAATCTTCTTCGGTTTGCTTTACAGTGAACCCCGGGAAGTTGGAACATGGATCCAGGAGGATTGGTGCTGGGATTTCCTATACTCTAGCTTAAGGGCATGAGGATATTGATGTTCCAACTTTCTGGCTTATACTGTATTATAATAGATTTGGGGTATCTCTTTGGTCTTCAAGCGTAATCGTCGTCCTAGTCGTAGTTCTAGTGGTAGTGGAAGTGGTAGTCGTAGTTGGAGCAGTACTGGTGGCGGTTGTAGAGGTAGCTTTCGGCGATGTTGTAAACAGTGGGCGCAAGACAGATTATCATGCCGTTTCATCCTGGACCCTAAACCTCAAACCCTAAACCCGATCTCACGCTACAAAAGATGACACTCCCATGAAGCAACAAAACAAACTCTGAATCCCTGGATCCTAATCTGGTCTTTGGGCTGCGCATTTCAGGCTTGGGTGTAGGCTTGAGAGCTTGGTGAGGATGTGGGACATGTCGGCTGTGTGGCTTGTTCTTCAAGGTTGAAGGTGCGAGGTCTGCGACGCTTGCACAATTCCACGGTACTGGGACAACCTTTCTCAGCTATGAGTAGACTGCGTCAGGTCTTCCAAAGATCATCATCAAGGGCGAATACGAGCCCTTGGGAAGCCACTACAGCGGCTTGGCTCAGGGTCTGCTGGGTTCTTGCTTGAGCACAAGAAAATCATTTCGATCCCTTGTTTCATGGTAGTATATTTAAGCAAGTCCACTTACGGCACGAGCGATCTATAGTAGCTATAGTGCATGATGTACTTTTCTGGCCTTCCTTGCTCCTGTCGCCTAACGTAGGCTGCTGTACGAAGATCCTGTTTAGGGATAGTAAGCAGCTAGTATTTATTGTTAGAAAAAACAAAAAGACAAACATAAGAAGAAGCCCCTGAGCATCTAAGCTCTATCTAATATTATATTCTTTTATGTATACATGTATGTATATGTATGTATATATATATATATATATATATATATATATATATATATATTACATGCGATGACCAAGTGCGCTATAGATTTGCTGTTCCATACGACGAGTTTATCATTCACTTTAGGGGTATGGGGCTCTAATCCAAACTGTACCCTAGACCTCTAACAATAAGCCCCGCATTGCCAAGGTGCAGAGCTGCATGGTTTAGTGGCCCGGATGCTGGCCATCGCGCCTTGACCCAGTTTTGGGGGGTTATTCTTACAGGATCCCAAGTATAAAACTGGCTGCACCAAATAAAGAACTACTGTGGAGACTATAGGTGGCCTTTTGAGTTTGCTTCCGAGGGCTCCGGTTTAGGGCTTGGCATTCTGGGTTAGATTCTGGGCTTGGGGTTCTAAATTGAGCGTCTTGTTTTCGGAATTATACGTATTTTCTTTTATTAGACTTCCTAAATCCGTCCCCTACAGAGATTGCAGAATTTCAATCAGTTCGAGCCACGCAACCCTGCAGCCCGAAAACCTAAACTTAAAACCCGGACCCCTGCAAGAACCCTAAGCCCCAATTTCCCTAAACCCCCTAAGCCCCTAAACCCCCCCAACCCTCTACCCTGACAGAATTCCCTGACCCTAAACCCCAAGTGACCCTGAGCCTTAAAACAAGCCGAATCCCAAAGTAACATCCACCCCACTGGGCTTTGGAGTCCCATACTTTACTACTTTTGTGGGACCTGTTACTTATAAGGGAACCGTTATGAAATGAAAGTCTGTATGTTCTTCCTCCTGGCTACTTCACAACTCACCTCAAGGATCCGGCGCAGAGACTTGATCTCCTCTCTGCGCTGAACGAGGAGGACGGCAGCGGTTCAACGAGTAGCTTTCTGTGCAGTTTAGGGGTCTAGGATTTAGGATATGGGGTTTGGAGTTTCGGGTAAAGGCCTCAGGATGTTTTTTCTGGGGGGGTTGTAGAGTTTAGGGTTTTAGGGTAGTGCGTTGAGGGATGATCTATGGGGTGGCGGCGACCCGCAAATAGCTAGACCCTAAACCGATCCCCAGGTGCACCCAATGAAGCAAACCAGAAAAGCCCAAAGCCAATATACCCGGTAAAGTCGTAAACCCAAAACCCTAAGATCCCATAACCCTGAGCCCTAAAAGCAACACCCTATACACTCAATCAAACAGGACCCCAAGAAGAGCACAACGCAGGTCCTTGACCCTAAACCCAGAGATCCTATAGCCCCCCTAAGCCCTAAACCCACACTGTAAGCCTTACCCGCAATGAAGAGGACCCTAAACCCTAAAGCACTAAACCCTACCGAGGCTCCCGCTGAGGCCGTCGAAAAAGGAGCCAAACAAAACAAAAACCTAAACCCTAGACCCTAAACCCCGAAGCAAATTATCCCTTATAGGCTCTAAAGACTCATATTTTGAGGCTTTTGGGCCCAAGGACCATACTACATAAGGCTTTTGGGCTATTTTGAGCCTTAGGGTTATAGGTCCCCTTATCTAAAGAACCCTTATTGTGCTCTTATAATTATAGATCCCCTGATTTCAAGAATCCATATAGCACCCTTATAGATTGGGTACGGCCCCCACTCAGCAATAGTTGAATAGCAATCATAGTATAGATATGCTAGGGCCTTAATAGTAGCCCTATTATAGACTCTAAACCCTAAACCCTAGATCCGAAAAAAACAGCAGGTCCTCGCTGCTCCGCTCCGGAGAGCTCGTGATGCTCTGGGCCTGGAGGTTCCCGAGGAGACGAGAAAAAAGCTTAGGGGTTTTAACGTTTAGCAGGGTTTTGGGGTTTTGGGGTTTAGGGTGTAGAGTTTTTAGGGTTTGGTGTTTAGGGTTTAGGGTTTCGGGGTTTAGTATTTGGGGTTTTCGGGTTTTGGGGGTTTAGGGTTTTGGGTTTTGAGGTTTGCCGTTTAGGGTTTAGGGTTTCGGGGTTTAGTAGGGTTTTGGAGTGTAGTGTTTAGGGTTTAGGATTTTGTGAGTTAGTGTTTCGGGGTTTTCTGGTTTGGGGGTTATGGGTTTTGGGCTTCCATTAGTGTTCCGGGAGATTTAGGTTTCCACTCAGGTTTTAGGTTTAGGATTTACGGTTACAATCAAGCTCCGGGGTGTTCCGGGGTTTTTGGGTTTGGAGGTTAGGATTCGAACTTTGGAATTCAAGGTTAGCTTAGGTTTTCTTGGGGCCCAAATGCCTACGAAGAGCTTACCAACTTGCTACTTGTCAGGCTTTCTGGGGTTTGGGGTCGCAAGAACTTTGGTGTTTCGTGTTTGTAGATTCAGGGTTTTACAGCAGCATCCGGCTCCTTCGGAGGATGTATGAGGTTGCTTCCTTAGGATTGTAGGGGTTGGGGTCTCGGGCTTTGGGTTTAGAGTTCCGGGTTTAGTGCTCAGTTCAGGGCTGACAGGGATAAGGCGGGTTCCTGTGTCTGTAAGGTATTCGGATCCGTGCAGAAGTTTGCAAGCTTTAAGCGGGAGCTGCTGCGCGGTAAGGAGAACCCCTGAACCCCAAACCTTACCTGCCTAAACCTTATACACACCCACTCCAACAGAAGACCTTATTCCAAAAGGCGCACCCACCGGGCACGCAGTGTACACACAGACACACACACTCTACTATAAACATCCAGAAACCCCAAAACCCTAAAACCCCACCCGTGGCCCAAAAACCGACCTTGTCAGGAAATGAGAACCAGAACCCCTAGGTTCTCGGCTACAGGTAAAAGTTGAAACCTACTCTCTCCCCCAAGAACCCTAAAGCCCTTAAGCCCTAAACCCCGAAGCCCTACACCTTAACCCCTAAACCGCAAAACACAAAACCACCCAAAAAACTCTAAACGCCTGAACCCTAAACCCCTAATCCCTAAACTCCTGGACCCCAACCCCCCCAAAAAAAAAACTTAAACCCCTCAACCGCAAAATCCTAAACTCCACCCCCAAAAAACCTAAACCCTTAAGCACTTAAACCCTAAACCCAGAACCTCCTAACAACCCTGAACCCCAAAACCCGAAACCCCTGACCCCCAACCCCCAAAAAACCTTAAACCCCAAAACCTTAAACCCTTTACCCATACACCCTAAATCCCTCAACCCCTAAACCCCTGGACAAAAAGCCCGGCAGATGCTGACAACTAGTTTCTCCGCACTATTCCTGACTAGCTGATATCGGATCAGGGCGGTTCTGGGGTTTGCGCCTTCAGAAGCATTGCTGTTGCGATCGCTCATGCTTCCAGTGTTGGAATGAACGCGGATGAAGTCGTGCGTGAGGCCAGCAAGCTTCGGTTGCTTGCTATGACTCACGCCACTAAGCACCGGGCCGCCTACGAACCGCAATTTGTGATCGATCCGAAATGCCCCTCCGGAATGCTGGGGAGGGCAAGATAGCCACCGAAACCTTCGATGATTACCTCCAGACCATGGCCAAGCGGACAGTTTGGGCAGACGGCATGATCCTTCTTGCATTGGCTGAGAGACTGGGAAGTCCGATCATCATCTGGGGGTGTTTGGCAACGCACGGTCCAGGCGCCTTGGGTCCAAGAAGGAGTGGCCCCTGTGGGCGCAAGGGTTTTGCGATTGCTCTCTTGCTGAAGGACAGGCGTTACAGACCCAGAGGGTCCATATATACTACCATTATGCAATTGGGCCAGTGTTCTTATGGTTTTGGGGGGTTCAAAGTCCATAATGGCAGTATAGATGGACCCTCCGGGAGAGCGGTTTGGGGGCCTCAGCAGTGCTCCCCGGCAGGATGGTTGCACGAGACTCAGGAGCTCAGAGGGGCCGGAGGGTTTAGGGTTTCGAGTTTCGGGTTTAGGGTTTCGAGTTTAGGGTTTTGGGGTTTCGGGTTTAGGGTTTAGCCTTTTTCTCCCGTCTAGTAACCAGTACTCCCCCAAAAAAGAGGCTCAAAGTGGGGCCTCTGCAAGGACTGCGACTCACTCAGTTCCACTGTTTGTTTCTAGGGGCCGTAGCGATAACAACTTGCCAAACCCTAAACTCCCAAACATTTAAACCCCTAAACCCAAAACCCGCAAGCAACCCTAAACCATCCCAAACGCAAAACCTCCAAAGAACCCTTAACCCCTAAATCCCTTAAACATCCAATTAAACCCTAAATCCCCCCAAACTCTCCAAAGAACCCTTAACCCCTAAATCCCTTAAACCCCTAAACCCCAAAACCCCCTCCAACAAAAATACCCCAAATCCCCCCCAAGCCATCCTAGCCCTTAAAGCTCTTCTTCCCGTCCTTCGCAGGAATCGGGCAGCGCCGGTGCCGGTCGCGCCGACCGCATCCGGAAGGAGATCCAGGAGCCTTTTTTTTGGGCTTTCGGTGTTTTTGTTCTTCTAAGGGTTCCTTAATAAGGGTTTACTTGGAGGGGCAGGGGACTTACTAACTCGTTCATAAGTAGGGTTGTAGTTGGGGTAACTCCATTTAGGGTACTTATAACTCTACTTATAACCTACTTACTAAGTCCCCTGCCCCTCCAAGTAGGGTTCCCCTAAACCCTAAACCCTAAACCCTAAACCCTAAACCCTATTCCGGTTTGGGACTTGAAGGGCTTGGGGGTTTCAGGGTTTGGGGATCTAGGGTTCAGGGGTTTAGGGGTTAGTTTTGGGAGAGCCTTTTTGGGCTTTTGGGGCTCTTCTAAAGAGTTCCTTGAAAGGTTCCTTTAAAAGGGAAGAAGAGTTTCTGGCTCTGGGTCTTCCATTTGGGTTTTGATGCTTTAGGGGCTTCGGGATTTAGGGGTTTAGGATCCAGGATCTTTTTGGGGGTTTGGGCTTTAGGGACTTTTGGGGGCTTTTCGGACTTTAAGGGCCTAGGGGTTTCAGGGTTTAGGGTTTAGGGTTTTTTGCGTTTTGGGTTAATGGTCTTGTTGGGCTTTGGGGTTTCGAGGTTCCTCTGAGAGTTCCTTCCAAGGGTAAAAGGAGGGACCTTGATAAGGACCCCTAGGTACATACCCTCAATATAGCTATTATATACCCATTATATAGCCCATTATGGGGTAGGGGTCCCCATTAATTAAGGGTCCCTCCTTTTCCCCTTTGATTCCTCTAAGGGTTCCTTCTCTGGGTTCCTTGCAGGGGTTCCAGTCAAAGATTCCTTTTCAGGGCTCCTTCAAGGGCTCTGGGTTTAGAGCTTTAGGGTTTAAGGGTTAGGGGCAGTAGGTTTAGGGTTTAGGGCTACAGGTTCCTATAAGCGTTCCTTCTTGAGGGTTTAGGGATCAAGGCTTTAAGAGTTTAGGGGTTGAAGGTCTAGGGTTCAGGGTTTGAGGTTTAGAGCTTTCAGGGTTTAGGGCTTTAAGGGCTTTCAAGGGTTAGGGCTCTAATGGCTTCGAGGTTTTAGGGCTTTAAGCAACCCTAAACCCTAAACCCTAAACCCTAAACCCTACCCTTCAGGGCTTTGGGGCTATACGGGTTGAGGCTTTAGGGTTTCGGGACCGTTGCTAAGGCTTCGCCAGATGCAGGGTTGAGAAGGGTTTAGGGTTTAGGGTTCAGGGTTTAGGGTTTAGGGTTCAGGGTTCAGGGTCTAGGGTTTAGGGTTTAGGGTTTAGGTTTAAGGGTTAAAGGCTCACGGAGTAGGGTTACAGGGAACTCCAGAAAGTGGGAATATGGTTTCAGGGTAAGATCCCCTATAATTTACCTTAGAGGGGCTACGATAATCATATTCCAACTTTCTGGCTTTTGCCTTAAGGCAAATCGTGTTAGGGATCCTTACTATACTTTAAGGAATATTCCTTAATTAAGGGATATTGGAGTCTCTGGGAAGGCAATAGGGCTGACGGGTTTAGGGCTCAGGTTCCCGGGACGTATCAGTGTCGTGGCAGGAGACAAGCGAACACAACCAATCGGAATGGATTGGGTACAACACCATGAAGCTTGTCTGCAAGTCCGAAAAGGCATCTATAAGGAGAGCCCGAAATTCGACCACTCTGCAAAAACCGCAAATTCTGTGTTGTGGTTTAGGGGCTGGCGGGAGGGTGTTGTACCGTTTAGGATCAGTGTTTTGCATTTCAGATTATCGGCTTGTTGTTCCGGTTTTGGGTATCAGGTCGCAAATGCTATGTACCAGATTCCTGCCCATTATGATATCCTAAACCTTAAGAGCCTTAGGATATCAGAGAGATCTTATCAGCAGCTTTAACCTCGGACCCACTTCTTGGAGGCACAACGGCCAGTGCAAGCAGGTCACTACCTTACTCGTCCATGTACGTATATACTCCATGCTACATAGGTGCAGCACAGTCACTCAAGCCATTAGGCTGGATTACAGTTGGGGAACTTAGTTCAACTTACGTTAACTAAGAAACCATACTCTTTATTATAGATCCCCCATTTGGTAACTTGAGCCCTAGGCCCAGTAACCCAGTGTGGCTCCACAGCCCCGAAAGTTTTTACGCGGGTCTGGCCAAGAACGATTGTCATCGCGATTGGCTCCTGAATCAAAGACTGCCGCTGATCATGATGTCACTGTGCCCTCACATAAAGTCTTAAGCCCCTGCAAGATATGAGCCCGGGCACAACGAAAGAAACCGGCGCACTGACCGATGAATGCTTTTGCTCTTCCGACCTTTGTAGCCAGGGATTCGAATATCCCGTGTAACGCGGCCCAAAAACCTCAAACCCGAAATCCCAAGCCCAGCAGCCCAAACGCCCCTACAGCAACGCGTCTCGCCCACAATATAACTCAATGAGCTTGCTGAGCCATTCACTGGTGCAGGTATGTATCTATGCATTTACATACGTATGTATGTATGTATGTATGTTTATGTATGTATATATATATATATATATGTCTATTTGCACTCACATCCAGATGTTGCCACGAAACCCCATCCTGGAGACGCCGTTAGCCCCCTTAGCGAGCCTCTGTTTGGCAGAAGCTGAGGATCCGACGTAAGGAAGAAGGCAGCTGATGCTTCGGAAAGTTCAGGGCCCACGTGCCGATGTACTGATTGTATACTTCAGCCTTAAAGGGGTCAAACACAGACTCCAAGTACACAAAAATAGCACCTACTTTGGGGATCTTTGAAGCTAATTGCAGTCTAAGGGGGTACGAGTCTCCAAGATCCCTGGTCCCTGGAAGTTTTTTGGGGAAGTGTTCATAAATTTTCGGGTAGGCATGGATAAGTTTGAACGTTTTCTGGAAGGGTCTTCGAAAGATCGAGATTTGCTGCGGGATTCGGATTTGGGATTTGCAGAGTTTCGGGAGGGTTAACGATGTTTGGGCCTCTACGATTTCAGGAGTTTGGTGTTGGGATCATGGGGTTCTGAGGGGGGCTTCTCAAACATGTTTCAGGATTCAACCCTAAATTTCCCTTAAACTCTCCAAACCCTAAAACCTAAAACGGAAGATGGAAGTCTGGCGGATCCCCAAAAGACACGAGGTATTAAAAAAAAAAACGGTCTTCCGGGTTCCAGCACAGCGAATTCCGGGGTCTTGGGTGCGACGGTGCGGGGGAGCTTTGAGGGTTTTGGGGTTTGGGTTTAGAGGTTCAGGGTTTAGGGTTCAGGGTTTAGGGTTTAGAGGTTCAGGGTTCAGGGCTTTCAGGGCTTACCGGGTTTATACGGGTTATGGGGCTTATAAGGGTTATAGGGCTTATAGGGGTTAGGGTTCAGGGTTTTATAGCGCTTACAGGGTTTATAGCGCTTGCAAGGTTTACAGGAGCGCGTATTTTGGGATTTATAGGGCTCGGAAAGTGGAGCTTCGAGCTTTGGGATTTGGGATCTCACCTGCCTGGCCGGGTTGGAGTCTAAAGCGGGGGGGTTTCAGGACTTTGTGTTTAAGGGCTTAGGGGCTTCAGGGTTTCAGGACTTGGGGTTTGAGATTCTAGGGTTTAAGGGTTTGAAAGTTTAATATTTAAGAGTCTAAGAGTTTAAGGGTTCAGGGGTTTAGGGTGGAGGGTTTAAGACTGGCAGGGTTGAGGAGATGATGTCCGCGCAAGTAGTCGGACGAGTTTTGATGCTGTAGGCTTCGGGCATTCAGGGTGCTACACATTGGAGTGTATCGAGTATTGGATTCGCCTTACATGTTGAAGCCAATGTTCAGAAGTACTAGTTTAAGATCGTATCTATATATATATATATGTGTGTGTATATATATATGTATGTATATATATATACACATATGTATTACTTATGTGTGTGTATGCACCTTCAAAGGTGTCTTACTCAGTACTTTTTGGTCATGGGCATGTGAAGTATATATGCTACCCGAAGCCGTAAGGGTGGAACCCTGAGAAGCCGCACGTCGATTTTTAGCGAGTGATATGATAGCATGGACAGGGCCGCTGGTCGGCGAAGCCAAGAAGGCCCACATCGCTTTGATGTTCTGGGTGTCGGGGCTTCGAGGTTTTGGGGCTGAGGTTCGCCTCAGTTTTGGAACAGTTGGGGTCAGAGCTTAAGAAGTGTTGCGTCATTGCGGGGAGTGGGGAGGGGGGACAGGGTTGGGGTCTGCAGAACCGTGGTGTCGATTCAGGATCTCGGGAGTCTGGCCATCTTGTGGGATGTCGGGTTCGGAGGTGCAGGGCGCAGTCGGCGTTCAGTGGTGGTTACAAGGCCAGAAACCCTAAACTCTTGAATCCTAAACCCTATAAACCCTAAACCTCTAAACCCCTGTAAGACTGAAATATACAATCAGTATATGGGCACTAGGCCCTAAACCCTAAGACTCTAAACCCTAAACCCTAAACCTTAACCCCTTCTAAAGCCTTTTGGCGTTTTTGTGGGGTAGCTCTTATAGACCCCTTCAAAAAGAACCCTTTAAAGGAACCCCTTTTCTAATTGTTAAGGCCCTATATTAAAGGGAACTCCAGAAAGTTGGAATATGGTTTCAGGGTAGGATACCCTAGAATTTACCATAAAGGGTTTAGGATAATCATATTCCAACTTTCTGGCTTTTACCTTAAAGCCTTTTGGTGTTTTCGTGGGCGCCAGGGCATCGTCGATTTATCCGAAGCCCGAGCTCCTCCTGGCATTGAAGGCCGGGTCGTGCTTTTGGTCTTTATGGGAGTGGGTACCTTATTTTGGGGTCCTTATAATAAGGATCCTACTATTTAGGGTACCATATAAGGGAGTTTCCGAAAATTAGGGGGTACCTTACCTTGTTTCAAACTCCTTATAATAAGGATCCTACTATTTAGGGTACTATATAAGGGTCCCCTATCTTCGGAATCCCCCATATAGGTTTTAGAGTTCAGGGCTTTAGGTTTCCAAATTAGAGTTTAGGGACTTTGGCTTCAGGATGTAAGGTTTAGGGTTTTTTTTGTTTTCTGGGTTTGGGGGTTTCAGCTCCAGTTTTCGAGTCTTTAGGTCTGAGCTTTTGCGATTACGTTTATCGTGGAGGGTTTCTATTTTTTCAGCACTGCAGTCTGCCGGACTGTGGGCGGCTGTGAGATACCGATAGCTTAGGGCAAAGCTGGGTCATAAAGCTGCTTGGGATTCAACTGGGCTTGAGGTCTCAAAGTTGCTATCGGGGAAATACAGACCCTAAGCCCCTAAACCCAGGAAAACTCCAAAGCCCTAAAACCTAAACCACCGAATAACCAGTTTATGATGAATCGGTGCCGGACTGGTTTGGTGTGCTGAGCTTTGCTTGGGTATAGAACTCGCACTGTTCTCTAGCGCTTTAGGATGCTTGAAGGCATACCTGAATCCCAAAGTATGTAGAATAATACATCTATTGTAGGTGTTGGGCCATTGTTTTACCTACTTTGGGGACTATAGGCAGAGCCACAGGGATATCAACACAGCGCATCACTCAATGTAGACCCCGACACACGACGTCCGGTTCCATCTCAAGACCCCAGAGACTCCAATATCCCTTTATTCAGAAATCTCCCATAAATGGGATTAGGATTCCTATTGTTGATGATATAAATCCTGCATTACCCATACTAAGAAGGAATATAGGGGAATTATGGTATATTCCCTATTGTGGGTCATGCAGGATTTATATCATCAACCGTAGTATAGTTTAAGTTTAAGGGATATAGTTATAATCCTTAACAGTGGGATCCTGGAGTCTCTGGGACAGTCCTGCTCAAGCCTTGGATTTAGTCTAGAAGCTCACGGGATTCCACTATGAGACTACTCTAGCGGCCTCAACAATTACATATGCCTGTTGGCGGACTTCTTAATTATGATTATAGCATAATGTACCCCAAAGCCCTCTTCTAATACTAAGATAATGCGTGGTTCCGTAGTACGGTTATGGTATAATGTACCACCAAAAAGCCTTTTCTCCGCCAAAAAGCCGTTTCTACTTACTAAGGCCCCTCAATTACCTGTGTGGCGTAGGGTTTGCGCGCGGTTTTGGTCCAGAGGGCTGCTAGCCAGGCGGCGCACTGCTCCCTATGGGAGTATTGCTGAACGCCGTGCGTGTTTCTATTATGGGGATGCTATAGGGGTCTAGGGCGGACGGGTTGAGGACATTAGGGTTTGGGTGTTACCCTAAACCCTTAAGCTTATTGATCCGGGCAGCTTGTCAGCAGCGCCCTTAAGGGATCTTTAGGGTGTAGGTGTAGTTTTTGGTTCAGGGTGCAGTTTCAGGTTTCTAGGTGTTACAATTGAACCTGTAGGGCTTCAGGTTTAGAGTTTAAGGTTAAGACTGTTTAGGACTCAAACCCTAAGCCCCAACTCCTATACCGTAAACCCTAAACCCAAAGCCCTAAACTTTAAGCCCTAAACCCTAAGCCCTAAACCCTAAACCCTAAAGCCCTAAACCCTAAACCCTAAGCCCCAAACCCTAAACCCCATTTGAGTGCAGAGGTACCCATGGCTCCATAGTAGTTCCTTTTTAGGATTACCTTATAGGATTCTACGTATGAATCCCAAAAAGGAATTACTATGGAGCCTCGAGGTACCTCTGCACTGAAAAAGGGTTTAAGGCTTATTGGTTTAGGGTTTAGGGCTCAGGGTTCCTTTTTTAAGCGCAGAGGTACAGTGGGGCCTGGTGATTGGAGCACCGCGCAGCAGCGGGATCCCGACTCAGGCCCCTGGCGTGGCAGATGGGAGTTTCCTAAAATAAGGGCCCCTGATATAATACCCTCAGTGGTAGGATCCTTATTATAAGGATCCCCGAATAAGGTACCCCTGATTTTCGGAAACTCCCCGATGAACGGTTTTACAAGTTTAGTATTGGGGTTTACAAGTTGAGGGTTTAGAGTTTTGGGCTTAGGGCTTTAGTATTGGGGTTTACAAGTTGAGGGTTTAGAGTTTTGGGTTTAGGGTTTGGGCTTTTGGGGTTTTGGGCTATCGAGCTCTTGGGGTTTTGGGCTCTTGGGGTTTTGGGTTTAGGGTTTTAGGGTTAAGGTTTTGGGGTTTTGTGTTTAGGGCTTACAAGTTTACCCTAAGGGTCGTAGGTACTCTTACGGGGAAAATAGTGATAGTAATTACTGATATAGAAACGCTACATTCTACTGGATTGGTACTTTGGACCCTTTGGGTTAGTAAGTATTTTGTTTTTTGGGTTTTGGGTTTCGGGATGAGGGCTTAAGGCTTATAGGGCTTACAGTATGGCTTATAGGGTTTGGGATTTGGGTTAGCCCTTCGGATGATCATTCAGGTCTGTAGAGCCTCAATAAGTAGAGCACGGCTTGGTGTGTATTATCGTACGTAGAACTAGTTAGTGGGGTTTACTGATTGGCTTTTCTCAGCCTCACAACCATCTAGACTGACATCCTTCTTTCCGTGAGATGTTGAAGACTTGAGTCGTTATGTACATCCCCAGAGACTTGTGGTAAAATCGTGTTCTGCAGAAGGCTGGCAGGTAGAAGTAGTTTCGAAGTCGAAGTTCAGGATGATACCTGAGAGCTATCAATCCTCAGCCCTATGAAATTCATCCCGTATAGAAGTCTGGAGAATTAAATAGAATTACTAGAATTGCCGTTCCTGCGGCTTTCGCATTATGCTACGATAAATCCCACATGGTAAAGCCCTGAGATAAAGTGTCTTAAGTTGAGGATTTTGAGGGATTTCAGGGTTGAGAGCTCAGGGCTTTACGGGGTTCTTGGCTTAGAGCTCAGGTCATGCGGGGCTTCGGGTGTCTGGTTGTTCGAGGGTGGAACGGAACGCAACAAACGATCTGCCAACTCAAAATCCGCAGAAGCCCGATCCATAAGCTCTACAGCAAGAACCCTGAACCCAAGCCCCCATCAAAGACAATCCGACACCCGTCAACCCTAGACCTTAAATAAGGCGGAAAAGACATGTATGTGGATAAGAAATATAGTTTCATGATGTTTCTCTCTCTCTCTCTGTCTCTCGCTCTCTGTTCATCTACACATACACACAATCACCAAAGCACTGACACTTTAACACCACCTTTACTCCCCCCATTCCCAATCTTCCCAAAAACGGAAGCAACAGAGAAAAGACATGCCCGATACCCTAGACCCCAAACCCAACGCCCTAAACCCAAACCCTAAACCCTAAGCCCTAAACCCCAAGCAACGACACTGCTATAGACGCCTTTATTCTGAGCACGGGGGTCCTCATTTTGTTTATAATGCTTGTAGGAATAATGGGCCCCCAAACCCTATTCTGACTATTGTGGCCCCTCTTTCAGCCTAACATTCTCTCAGGGGAGGAAGAGCTGGCATCGGCTTCGGACGACTCCTGGGGCCGCCTTCGTGGAGTTCAGAGGGCGCTTTTTTGTTTGGGTGCGTTTATTGTTTTTAGGGCTTAGGGTCAGGGTTTTAGGGTTTGGGGTTGTGGGTTGTGGGGTTGGGGTACATCATACTCTGGGTTGATAGGGTTTAAGTGGTCGAAGCACGGCATCCACTTTGCTAAGAAAGCTGCCCGCGTAAGATATTTACAGAGACAAAGTAGGTGTTCTTCATTACTTAGATGCAACTCCATGATCCAGCGAAGTCCTAAGATCCAAACGGAACTCAATGATCCGATGACAGACCTCGAATGACTCCGAGTTCCGTTCCTGCACTCGCCAAAATGCCAGTGGGTTTCTTAAGGGACGCTTAAGGGGCTGTGATGCTTCGACAAAGGTGTTCTATTTGGGTTAATACGAGGATCCTTTTGTTCAGGCTCCTGGGTCAAGCGTTGGGCTTGAAGGCTTTGTTGTTTGGGGTGCAAAGTCTGAGGACAAAGGGTTCTTTGTGGGTCGAATTATGACGGAGCAAATCAACCACGGACTATTGCTTTGGCTGCGTTGACCCTGCGGGCTGCTGCGAAACTCCCTAAACCCTAAACCCGGCATCCATGCCCTTCAGCTTTTCACCTGCAGCCCTTGAGCCTGAAGCTCAAACCCGAAACCGGCATAAGACCCTGAAAGTTTAGGGTTTAGGGTTGAGGGCTCCGCCGCCCGGTGCGAGATCGAGGCTCTGTCGTGAAGACAGGCGTGGATGCCCTCCAAGAGATGCTTGGCTGCACCCGAAGGCCTGGAGGTAAGGAACCTCAATACCCAAGGGGTCCCAGGTACCTACTGGTAAGGGCTCCTTGAAGGGTTCATATAAGGCTCCTCTAAGTGAGGTTCTAAGGATTCCTTTATGGGGGCTTCATACCAAAAACACAGTCCTCCTTTCTACTATGTGCGACCTTTTGGGATCTCTAGACTAGGGCTTGGCTGTGGGGGAGTTGAAAGTTGAGAGTTGAGCCTTAGAGTTTGGACTTGTATGGGGTTCAAGTTTTGCGTTCCGGGGGTGAAGGTATTTGGGTGCAAATGCTGTAAGGTTTGTGCGGCGGCTACCTCCAGGATCACAGTTATCTAAACCCCAAACCCTCATCCGAATCCTTCTTTGCGCTCTGCCCACTAAATCGTTTGATCGTACAAAGGGCTGATCCTTGCGAGGGGACACACAGTGTTCAGATAGCCCTCTTTTAGGATGAGGGTGGAATCGGGACGGTTCACAAGGAGCAGGCCTTTGTAGGTTTCACACCTACAGCCCTACAAGCCTGCAGCTCTACAACAACCCCACGGCCCTACCACCCTAAACCCCGACAACTCTGACCCTGAACCGTTGTGTGAGCCTTGTTTCAAGGGCTCGCCTGACGGAGGAAATAACTTCAGGCAGTCCGGAGGTGTCTACCTATACCTATCTACCTGTCAATCTATCTAAATCTTTATGCACATCTACATCTACATCTAGGTCTACATGTATACCTGTATCTGCACATTCAGATCTGGATTTGATCTGCATTTGTATCTATATCTTCCTAGACTTAATTCTATCCATACGTATTGCTCTATCGGTCTCTGTCTGCATATCTGTTGCTATGATCTCGAGCTCTATCTACCTATCTATCTGTTGATCTGTCTATCTACACACCCATGTCGGTAAACAGGCAGATAGACACACGAAGTTTGGGGGGTCGTATTTCGTGCATTTGTATAACATACAGTAGCCGCCGGAAAGTTGGAAGGCAGCAATTGGAACGGTTGATGCGGCAACGGCATCTTCCAACTTTGGGTTTGGCTTGGTCCCATCTTCCAACTTTAGGTCCCGGCGTTTGGACCGGTTGATGCGGTAACGGTAACTTCCAACTTTCGGTTTGCGGGAAGCAGCTCCAGTAATGCAGAGAGAGAAACTGCAATTACTTCGACCGCTCCAGTAGTGCTAAGAGAGGGAAACGGCAATTACTACGACCACTCCAATATTGCAGAGAGGGAGAGAGAAACTGCAAGTACTACGACCGCTCCAGTGTTGCAGAAAAAGAGAACCTGCAATTACGACGACCGCTCCAGTATTGCAGAGAGAGAGAGAGAGAGAGAGAGAAAAAATGCAAGTATTACGACCACTGCAGCATTGCAGAGAGAGAAAAGCTGCACATACTACGACCGCTCCAGTATTGCACAGAGAGAAAAACTGCAAATACTGCGACCACTCCAATATTGCAGAGAGAGAGAGAGAGACAGAGAGAGAAAACTGCAATTCCTGTGTCCAGTGTTGCACAATTACTACGACCGCTCCAATATTGCAGAAAGAGAGAAGCTGCAAATACTATGGCCGCTCCAGTATTGTAGAGGGAGAAAAACTGCACTTACTCCAGTATTGTAGAGAGAGAGAGAGAGAGAGAGAGAGAGAGAGAGAGACGGAGAAGCCGCAATTAAATATTGGGTCTGCTTGGTCCCATCTTCCAACTTTAGGTCCCGGCATTTGGAGCGGTTCTTGCGGTACTCAAAAGTTGAAAGATTGCAAACTTGGAAGAATCCAAAGTTGGAAGATGTGTTTCATTCCAATTGTGGGGTGCTGAAATTTTGGGTGCGCATCTTCCAACTTTGCGGCTGCCACCATATATATATATATATATATATATATGATATATATATATATATATATATATGATATATATATATATGTACATGCATACATACATACATAAATATATACCTTTGTACGCACATACGTACCTGCAGGCCTATATGTATGTCTGTACCTATGTACCAACACACTGTATGTGTGCAAGTAGGTATGCATGTATGTATTACTCCATGTATACTTATCTGCAGCATGCATCCATGCATGGATGGATGGATGGATGGACGGATGATTGGGGGTTTAGTTGGTAAGGCTCAGGGTTTAGCGTCCTAAGGATCATGGAGAATGGCAAGCGACTGGCTGGCACTTGGCTGTCCATTCGGGTTTAGCACTTCGTGTTTTTGCTTGATCGCCCACAAATCCGCACACCCTACAAATCATGCAATCAAACTTCCAAAGTACAAGCCTTCACCCCAAGCTGTAAATCCGAAGCCCAAAACGCGCAAGAATGCCCGGAAACCCTAGACATAGACCTTAAGCCCTTATCTCCGAACCCTAAGCCCCGCTGTAGGCCCCTGATGAACAAACCCTGCTGCATTTTGGCAAGACCGGGGGTGTGCTATTACCCCGTGGTGTCGAAAGCACAGGGCTGGAAGAACTAGATTGAAAAGGGTTTCGGAGCGTTTTCAAGTAGCTCTATGAAGAGTGTAAGCTTGCATACCGTTCTAAGTTCTAGCTGTTGTGGCCCGTGTTCTGTGCTGAGCCGCATACACACTGAAGTTACGGAAGTGTCCCTGTAGCAATACATCTTTGAATGATGTAACCTACTACCTCTTCGATGGTTGGAGCTATCATTCAAAAATGTGGTGACAACAAAGAGCTCGAGAGGCAATGTTTGCATGCCACAGCTTGAAGTTCGGTTTCTGTGTGGCAGTGCAAAAAGGACTGTAAGGGGCAACATGCATAGCTATGTGTGGAGGTCAAAATAGCAATTTTGGAGTTTGTGGACCTGTGATTTCCGAGGTGACATGCCGGCTCGTCGCACCTGTGACTGAGCTTCTCGCTTTCGGGGAGTTGGCAAAAAGCTGGCCACGTCTCATTTATGGTTTAGGGTTCAGGGTTATGGTTTAAGGTTTAGGGGTATGGTTTAGGGTTCATGGTTACTATAAGGGCTACTTACTTTAAGGGATTAATCTAGGGGCCTTGATAATTAGAATAGGGTTTGGGGGTACATGGTACTATAGTTTTAATACTAACGACTCGCAGAATAGTATTGGTAAACCCTCGGGGTCCCTACATTGTGGTTTAGGGTTCCGGGTTGTGTAGGTTACCATAACAGGGACTTACAACAAGTATGTGATACTGTTGCCCAGTTCATCACAATTGGGAATTGTGGCCCTCAGCAGCTTCTTTCTTTGTGCATACGAACATGCTTCCATGCATACATGCATTGCATTGCAGAGCATTCCTTCACAGTACAACACACGCGTGGCAAACACATACACACACACACACTCACACGTAGGCAGGGGTTTGGGGTTTTGGGGGTTGGGTTAAAGAGTAATTGCTTGTGCCCTGTGTTCCGGGCAGCAGAAGCCCGACAGCTGATTTGCCAACTACCCATTTAGCTGACACAGTGACTTCACCCAGATGATCACAGCGTGCCCAAGCCTTTCTCTGCTTGTTTGTCGCATCCCGTTGTTCCTGATTCTGTCACGGCTTATGGTCTATGATCTATGCCATCTATGCATACGAGACCACTAAGCTAAGTTGTGGCGGCTTCGGGCAGGATTCGATGATAGAAAGCATGTTGCAGACTTCGGTTGACGGATGTGTGGGTGTTCGCTGCAGTTGTGTCCAGTTGATCTGCGATCAAACGAAGATAAAACGATAGCATCCCATTTGCGTTTGCGTCTCCTGTCCTTTCCTCAACCTTGCACTAGCATGGCACTGCCGTAAAGAATTCGTTTGCAGTTCCCATACAGTCCGGACATCAGTCGCTGCACGAAAAACCATTGATCCCAAAACCCTCTGTCCCAAAACCCTCTATCCCAAAACCATCTATCCCAACACCCTCTATCCCAAAAAACCCTGTCCCAAAACCATCTATCCCAAAACCCTCTTTTCCTTCTGAACTCTCCCCGAAAAGGCATCGGGCCCTAGGAAGCAGAGGCCGATCCTCGTCGCCTTCACTGCAGACAAAGTTTACCCTTAGGCTCTAAGGACTCATATTGTAAGGTTTTTGGGGCTAAAGACCCTACTATACAATGATTTTGGGCTATTTCGAGCCTTAGGGTTACAGACAGGATGCCTTGCCTGTAACATATGGGTCTGGAAAAACAGTAATTACTAATATACGGACCCCTGAGGAATGGTATTACTAATTAGAAAATACTCAGAAGCCCTAAAGAGCGGTATTAATTGTTAATAATGCTCTTTAGGGCTTCTTCGTGATTTTTAATTGGTAATACCATTCCTTAGGGGTCCGTATTATAATTGGTCGCTTCCAGCTATTTGGGGCTCCTCTGTTTGCCCTTAACTACGGCTACAAAGTCACGCGCCGTCTCCCGCTATGCACAGGATGTAGGCTAGATATAGGTGCATGAAACCTTAGACAAACTCTCGACCATCAACTCAGTTCGTGAATCTTAAGGGAGCTCAAGGTCAGACCCTCACCGCCAGTTCCACAACCCCAAAACCGCTCACCATCGTGCGAGCCGGGTAGGAAACTGTGGCTCCTAGATACAAGAAGCCTATCATAATGTAAAGGGGACCTTTTTTGCGCCAGGGTTGAGGGGTAAGGCTTGAGGGATACCCAGGAAAAGGTGTTGTGTGATTGTTGGCTTGATGGCGGGTGGAGTTTGCCCACGTTCTAGCAGTCCCGATGGACTTGTTTTGCAGATGTGCCGGTCCAGAAAGCACACAGCTTGTATAAGTTGTTTCAGTGGCTTAAGCGATCCTGCTTGCCTAAACCCTAAACCGTCGAGGTTCTGAGAGTTAAGATCTCTTTGGACTTCCTGCTGTCTGCACTTGAACCCGCTCTACCTCTAGCTGTAAGGCATCTGGCAATGGTAGAAAGCAATGAGACAATTAAGGAGGGGGTTCCTGCACTTAGTGCCCGAAGTTATCGAACCGAACCCCTAAACCCTAAACCCTAAAGCTCAGAATCCTGGCTGTTGTGAGTGGCCCGGCCAGTGTCTAGCCCTGCCGCACTCTCAGTGCACCAGCTGCCGAGAGATGTGCTCCTTGCTTCGCAAAAACAAGCTGGGATGCCCAGTAGTACCCTTATTCCTTTTTTGTAGTCCTAGGTTCCTTATAAAGCTACCCAATACCAAAAGGAGAGGCCTTTTTATTCTTCGGTTACTGGGTATCCTAGCAAGTGCAGGGTTCAGAGAGGGATTGGATTTAGAACCTCCTGCACTGCATGGTTGTTGGTTCCAAGGAGGGTGGGCTGTAGCACAGAAATGCGAAAAACCGTATGCAATCTCAGTCTACATGCAGCTCCCAACAGCTATCCCACTGAACTT